GCCAGCTTAGGGACCCCGGGCGCCTGCAGCTGCGGGAGGTGCCCACGCTCACCCGGCACCCGCACCGGCGGCAGGGCGGCACATCCCGCACCCCAGGGAGCCGAGCCGGAGCCCGGCCGGCAGCCGGCAGGACAAGGAGGCATCGCGGCCCGTCATTCAGCCGGCTCAGCAGCGGATGCAGGCAGCGCATAACAAAGATATCGGTTCTGGTTCTGCCCACACTGTAAAATAATGAAAGCTTTTAATTAAAGGAAAGTGGTGCAGCCTGCAGCCTTTTGTTTGAGCTCTGATGGGAATAGCTTTCCTTTCCAGCCCAGCGTTTAGAGCTGTCTCTCTCGTACCTGTCAAAAAACTAAATCTCAGGATCTAAAACATGTATATTTAAAGCTGTGGTATCAGTGCCCTGTCAAGGCTGGGATTTCTTATTAAACAGGGGGAAAGGACAAACGCTGGGTGAGGCTGTGGCCAAAATAGCAGAGAGAGGCAGCAAGGCAGCCAGCAACCCCCCAGCACCCGGCCATAACGCCGCCGGAGCGCGTTATAACGCCGCTGCGTCATAACGCAGCCTGAATCTCTGAAATTTGTTTTAACGCTGAAGCGGAACTGGTGTCTTGTTAATTTTTCAAAACCTTTCTTTTAATTTCACGTTTAACATTTCTGAAGTTTTGTTTTTCCCCTTTCCCGCACCTTTCCCTTCTATCTGCTAAGCAAAGTAAAATAAATGATGTAGGTTTTTTTTTTTCCTTTCTTTGCTTACCCAGTTCTGCAGAACTTGAAAGCTTTTCAAAGCATCTGGGTATTGAGCGTTACAGTTTAGGTTTGTGCTGTTCTTTCCCTCAGCAATGTTTCTAATATCAGAGCAAACTAGAAAAATTGCCGCATAGAAAAAGGAAATGAGAAATAGTAAAACCGGGGGCAAAATCCCCAGACCACTCACTAGGCATCAGCCACGGGTGGAAAAAGGCAAGACCTAAAAAAGGAGGAAAATACAATATTTCGTATTTTGGAGTTTGATGGGGTTTTTTTCGGGGGGGGGAATCTGACAAAATATGCAGCTTGCAATTAGGCACAAAAACGTTCTCCCATCCTACGGGAATTTAGTACAAGCCCGCTCTCGGGAGGTCCCCGCAAGAGCCAGACCTCAGCGGGCGCTGGGACGCCTCGGCGCCCTGCGGACGGTCTGTGCAAGGCTGCTCGCCGTTTGCACACCATGCAGATAAAGGACGGCTGCTGTAAAATGTTGAGTCTTTAGACTATAAAAAAACTGTCTTTCTAAGCTAAAATCCAACTTTATTTGTACTCCTGCAATTCCATTGAAGTCAGCAGGGTTTCCTGGCTGCTAGCAAGGGCCGCGCCTGGCGTGCCCTTTCGCAGAGGTTAAAGCGCCAAAGAGAGGACAGCATCGCTCCGAAGGATTCGATAAACTTCTATCACTCAATAGTTTAATTCACTTTTACTGATGCAGCATCTTCTATCAAAGATTACATGATGCTGAATAATCATGAAGCACATAATGCAGAGCCAGACAGGCAGTTATAATCAAATTTAAAGCCTGCATTAAAAAAGTGGCAGGGGGGGGGG